AATAAATGTTTTTTTTTAATGAAATTTAATACTAACAGAGCTTGCATTTTTAAGCATGAAACATTGCTGTTCTCCTACTTAGATGAAGGGGGATGTAGGAGGTGAACAGTATGATCTTTATTTCTGATTTTAAGGAGCTGTCTCTAGCTGCAGTGATGTTCTTTATTATATAGTGTCTTTGTTTTGTTGACACCCAGGGCTGTATTTGGTTAGTCCAGCTAATGACACTGTCAGGTCAGATTCAAGGTTAGGCTTATAAGGGTCATCTTGACATCTGTCTCATTGCTGCCCTTTAATCAACGAAGTGCATTCTGTCTTGAAGCCGTATATACTGCTTAATGCAAAACAGAAATTTAACAAAACTGAAGAATTTCTTAAACAACAAATCTGAACACGCACACCCTCTTAAAATCCCTCTTGCTATTTTGTATATTTTCTGGCCATTAAAGGTGTGACTGTGCTGCCTGATCTTAAAAGGAAGCTTGTGTATTTCAGAACAGAAAGGATTTTTCTTAACCTGTGCAACCTGAATTTCAAGAAACCAGCAAAGTAAAAAAACAAATCAGAATGTAATTTGTACTGTTTTCCACGTTGCTTTCCTGAGCTCAAAAAATGTTGCTTTTTAAAAATGTTATAAATGTATAATAGCAGATTGGATCTTCTTTTTTATGGGCGGTTCAAAAGTATGCTGTTCAGACATGTCTCACTGAGTTTGAATAACTCTTCTGGGTGGAAAGCAAGCTGCACTGGTGGTTTGGAGCACCCAATAAAGGCAAATTCCTTAAGCCAGGACACAGTTAAAGAAAACTTGAATTTTACTTATCATAAATGTATGTATTTATTCTCTTTTTGTGCTTATCATGTGTGTAAAACATGCCTGTTAAGCGCAGATGAGAGGTCATTGTAGTGAATGCTTTTAGATTATACGACATCTTGATTCCTGCTCATTGTATCCTTTTAATCTCCAAATTCAAAGACTACTTAGGTAATACCAGAGAAAACTGAGTCGATTCATTAAAATGTGGAACCTATTGCATACTTCATTACCACTAATTTCTTCTTAATGCATTGGGAATGGTTTTCATTCAAATAATAAAGTGCTATTAAAATATTTTATTTTGCTTAAAATAATTAAATAACTCAATTAAAATTATTAAACCAGCACAAGACAAAAATTATGCACTGTAGGACTGCAAAGATGTTTTTCATACAAACACTTAGGAAGAAAGTTATCCATGTCACATTAATTGAACACTTCTCAGTTTTATTTTTTCTTCGCCTCCAAATTATTTTTGATCATGTAGCTGTGCAGTCAACGTATATATTTTAAGAATGGCCTTCTCTCACACATGCAAGTAAGATGAATTTTAGCAATAAAGGCCAGATCATAAAGGCTTTTATTCTAAATCGCTCTGAGGATTGTTATCTGTGAGATGTGTGCACTGCCTTAGTCCTGTTCAATCAAGTGTCCACTTAGCCGTGACTCGAGTAATTGTTCCCAAGTGGGCTACACAATGACCTGTTAATGTCTGTGTTGACCCTGTGACCTTGTCTGCACGTTTGCAGAGGATTTTAAATCATGTGGATATCTGTGCTACTGTGTGCTCTGAGGTCAAGTGGGTGTCTGTGCTGTTAGACCACTTTCTTATAATTGTACCCCATTCTGCACATCAGTTAGGGGACTTATACTTATACTATCTTATTCAACAAGATACCGTGAGCAAGGTTGTCTCAGTAGGAGAGACTAGTATTCATTTCACTCAGGTTCCTTTAGCAAGGTTATCTCAGTGGGAAAGGCCAGTATTAATTTTACTCAGGTTAAGCTTTGCTTTTCTGATGGCTGGGCATCTGTAATGGAAAGAGTTCAGAGGATACACTCTCAGGGTTATGCTAGCCAGTTATGTGGAAATCCCTGTGATGGGCATAATTGCCTTGAGATGCTGTTATTGACTAGACAGCGGTGATGTGCACCCTTGTGGCAGTGTCTCATCTTGCCTTCAATGTGGTATGACGGGTTTTTTAAAAACTCTTTTGTGTATCCTGTATTTTAGCTAGAACGATATATACAATACATTTCTGAGGTTGTTTTTTGCGCTTTGAGTTAATTCAACAAAAATTCTATCAACCTTTATTTAAAGATGTACATTTTATTTTATTAAATGTATTGTTTGAATCAAAAAGTCTTAGTTTGTGTTGGGGAAGAATGAAAATACATATCTTCAGGTGTCACAAATGTTTTATTTTAGCACAAACTTACTTGAATGGCATTTTGCAACCCGTTTAATTTGATGGATCAAGTTGTTGTTCAGCTGATCGAGATTTTATTTCGGGTATTAAAAAAAAAGTTACTTCTGTGTTTCTCAGATCATTAACCTCACCCAGTCATAAGTGAGGCTAAAATTGAAAACAGAAGAAAGAAGACTGTTTTTCACCTTTATAATTTCTGCAACACTGTGACTGTTTTTTGCGAAAGTTTGTGTCTGAGCAGTAAACTTCACACCATACTGGGTATGCGAGAAATGGTTCTTTAAAGGGCTCTGAATTGAATTCAGAATCTTTAGAAACTTGACACATGAATAAGTGGCAATTAACAATTACTTTAAAGTGGCTGGTAACTGGTTTCTTTTGAAACTGACAAGAATTGTAATTTGTGTGAAGGAAGGATTAAAAACATATGTTTCAACATTGAAGAGATCCCTGTTAAACAGCTGGCCTGCAGAGGCCCTGCAGACTTTGGAAAGTAGCTGTATCGTAGCCGTCATCTCTCTGATATTGTTTTTATACAGATTATTGCTTTGATAAGAGGATTATATAGTTAAGGGATCCTCTTTAATTATTTATATTCATCAGCTAGGAACATGTTTTACTATCGAAGTTAATGGCTATGGTGTGAAATGTGGACAAAGTGTCAAAAAGAAAGGCAGTTTCTCTCGGAAAACACACACCCTTGAGAAAGTAGTGCCCGGAATGGTGCAGACATAAATTATGCTTGGTAAAGCCGTCTGTTGGGATAAACATATTTTTGTTGATTAATGACATACATACAGGCTGGTAATCAGTGGGTCTTATCAGCGGCTTTTCAGAGCTTGACATTGGTAGAGGAATGCGTACTGTGGTGGAAATAGTACTTTGCTAATGGTGTTACAGCTGAATTCCACACACATGAATTATGACAAGTTGGGCTGACTGCTCTGTGGTTTGTTTTGTCTGGTTTGGTTCCTACTTTTAAAGTTACAGTTGCACTTGGTCATCTGAAGCTCGTCTCAGCAGACTGGCCTATTCAGCAGGATCCCCTTGCACTGCCGGGGAAACGAGTATTGTAATCATTGTAATCTGAAAGATGCAGCAGGCGCCATCATTTTCTCTGAGGTTGACTTCAGTTTATTATTTTTTTTCCCATGCACATCTACGACCATACTCTGGCACGTACAAGTAGCAGTGGGCATGGACAATGGTTTAGACACAAGTTACTGCTTCTAGGTTACCATTGCATATTCCCAACATATGGAAAGCATTAGCAGAGCCTATGGGCTATACCTTTGTATGAGAAAACACACAGGCAAGCAAAGAAAGAAAAAAACATCTGCGCTGGCCGATTAATATCCCTTATTTGTTATTTTAAATGTAGTCAGAACTTGAAGTCTTCGATTGAATAGCAGCAATACATTTAAATTAAGCAAAATATATTTCTATAAAACAGTAAATACAGCTGATTTACTGTATGTTTAAATGGACACTAAAAAAATGATTGGTTTCAATGGGGTGCTGAATTAAATTAAAACTATTAAGAATACAGAATGCAACCGGTGATGCTGCTTTCTGAAGAACTTTTTTTCCGACAGGGGTTTTCTGAATTTTATTGTGCTTTTTCTAAGATGGAAATGTCCCCTTAGAGGAGCAATTATTGCATTTAGGCAATATTTATTTATCCTTTACCTTTAAGGTTTGACATAATGAGTTGATCCAAGAAGTCCCGCCTTTAAAATCGGCAGTGTTTTCAGCTTCCCTTTAGAGGTGTGTAGCTTTTTATGGTGAATTTTGGTTAAAAAAAAATATTTTCCCATATCTTGACATTTTTGAAGCATAAATGTGATTTGGCTCTCAAATTGTTTCAACAGATCCCTTCTTTAAAGTTATTTTTAAGACAGCAAAAGACCTAAAGTGAGTTTAGACAACAATCCTTGTGCTTCTACCCTTTTGAGCTGCTTTTTTATGAGTATTACTTTTTTTAATACATTTGATACAGTGATATACTGGTGTCCCATCCAGGGTGTATCCTGCCTGGTGTATCGTTGCTTGCAGGGATGGACTCTGGCTCCCCCACTACCCTGTATGGGATAAAGTGGTTAGAAAATTGATGGATGGATAAAACAATTTAACAGGATATTGGTGTGCAGTAATTCATTCGAGCCTTGCTGAAGTCTTCCTGTTTAACACAGTAAAAGACACTTGAAAATGGTACTTGTTCAGTAGAAGTAGGGTTCATGGCCATACTTCATATTCTGAAGCAGACACGAATTATCCAGATTTGGCACCATTTGCTGCTTTCTTTCTTGAGGAGCGCCCTTTATCATGCCATTAATTTTCTTGGTGAAAAAGATTAACAGTTGGTGAACATCTTTCCATGCTAATGTTCCATGCTTGTGTCTCAGATCTTCACTGATAAGAAATTTGGAATCATTTTAACTTACATGTGTGTAGGCTGGTGTTCGGCTCTACAGATCATGTACACTGCTCTTTGCAAAAAAAAAATTCCATTTTATCAGCACTCTCATCGTTTATTGTGATCAGTGTCAAGATTGCTCATTATTGCTTATGCAAGCTACTATTATGAGATCTTTCTTTTTTTATTCATACTGAAAGCTTATGCTATAAAAAGAAATGACTGATGACTTAAAATGTATTTGGGTCTAAAGATAAGGGAAGGGAAGATATGCGTCATTATTTAAGGTAAATACATGTGGTTTGAGTGATCACGTTTTTTTCTCTTTATTTTTCAGTTTTAATCAAAGTTCGATATTATTCTGTGTGACGGCACTCCGATCGCTGTGGGTTAAATAGATTATTTCAAGGTACTTCCCCCACCTTTGAAATTAAGTGTTAATTCCTGTTTGTAAGATAAAAAGTTGTTGATGTTTTCTTTACGTTGTTCGTTTATGAATTTATCTTACTATGTTTCAGGTAAGGTGAACTCCAGCCTCCACTGATGTCGAGACGGCAAGGCTTTGCTCGGAGTTCTGATTGAATGGATGGAATGCCTGTCTTACCTAGAGAGGTGAAATCGGTAAGAAAGGATCCCCATCCACATTCCATGGTATTGGTGAAGCAGTTAGTCAAAGGTCTGGTGGATCACAGTACATGATAGACATAGAAAGCAGAAAGTTTTGAATGAGTAAACATTAGTATACCAATTCCAGAAACACTTTTTTTCTACAGTTTCTACATTTTTAACGTAAGGCTGATGTTTCAGATATGAGTAAAGTGTTCATTTTGTAACTTATTATGTGCATAGGAAAGAAATATAATTTTAAACCCAATGCAAACTTTTTGTAAGTATACAAAGTTCATAAAATAACACTGTGTATATTTCTATAATGGGGTTCATTTTGTTTATTTTTAAACATTATTTATGGTACCGTAATCATTTTAAAACATGTGAAAAACAGCCCTCTTTTAACCCTAAAATGCTTTGCTTCAGTATTTATATTCAGAGTGAAAACAGCCAACAAAGACCTCATAAAGAACATCAAAACAGTATGTTCTTTTGAAGTTGGTTTATATTATTTCCTTATTTAATATCAGTAAAAAACAAGGCATGGCAATTCTCAAGTAAAGCTATGCCATAGTTTTGTAATAAGAAGGAAAAAGGAGTTAGAGGGGCACATTAAGCATTACTGTGAGTGCTCAGTGAATGGAGAAGATCAAACTTTGCTAAGCTGATATTGAAGTAAGAAGATGCAAGATGGAGATGGGCCATTTTATTTACTGCATGTATCTGCTAAGCAGCACCAGATGGTTGTGCAACATTGGCTGCTTACAGCCTATAAAAATGAAAATGAATGCAAACTAAATCATAGTATTTTGTGTAATGCATAAGTAGATCACACTAACCAGATAACTAATTTAGAGGTCCTGCTTTAGTAGTACAAACATCTCCTCAAGAAGCTTAACTGCAATGTTACATTTCTGAGTGTGCTTATGATAAACCAGTTGCTCTACATTATTCCTTTTTGTAAAAAAAAAGTATTTTTTCAGCTATGGCTGAAAATGGCCTTGTTCACTTTTTGCATCACTTTTTTGCATAGTTGGGTTGTTGCAAGGTACCTTTTCTTAATCATAAAATCTAAAACAAATGTGCAGTTTTAGGCAAACAGTAATAATAGTAATAATAATCAGTAGAAAAAATAGTTAATAATACTTATTAATAAGTTCACAACAACGGCTGTTATTGTTCCTGTTTTAAATAAGAAAAATATATACTACATCCTTGCAATAATAAATTTATAAATGAACGGAAGGTATAGGATAAAAGTCTATAACAGTGGAAAAGCATATGATCATCTAAATGTGAGCATGAATTCAATGGAATGTGGCGCTCCCAATAGAAAGACAAAGCGAAATTAGCCTTGGGTTGCTTGAAACAGGCATTTTGGCTCTTGTTTTCTCATCACACATATGCAACTTTGGAATTACTTAAAATTGGTTTATTCCCCTTCCTTCCGGGTCACATTGCCTTCAGTAATTGACTATATATACTCCCCACCCTTCACCCCTCAACGATGGTTGGGTTGTTGCCAGCTCAGAAGTCATTGTCTGACTTGCTGCTGATCAAAAATCAACATGACATTTGTGTGGAGGTACTGGAATCCATATGTAATTAAATTCATGACTATAGGGAAGAGCTCACGATTCCCCACCTTGCATCAGCAGGAAGGGCGAGGGGGGGATGATGAAACAGTCCCAGCAGGCACCACACTGCTGCGTTTATCCAATCTCAGTGTCAAATTCAGTTTTTGAGTTCTCCGTTAAGCTTGTAATTCCGTGCAATTAATTACAGCAACCATCAATTAAAAATCTTCCAAATATTGTAGGAGAATTAAATTTCAATTATAAAAATTACATTAGGAAAAGAAGCCCCTAACATTGGTTTAATGAGTTCTGCTGAAGGTGACAGTTGTTATTTTGTGTTGGGGAATTATGTACCATTTGGGGAGTTTTGATACAAATCTGATATGTTAGAGGGGTGTCATTATTCATGCATGTGCAGATTTTACTGAGCCGTGATCATTACACAAAGCATTTTTATATACCGCCTGTCTCCCGCAGTGCCACAAAACATAACGCTTCGTTTAAAGGTTTGTGGGCAATAGTTCGAGTCATTGATCAGTACAGAAAAAGACATCTTGGCGGGCTACATTTACTCAAATGCCAGTGTGAGTTGAGTGCATGTGTACTTTTCAGATATCATGTTAGTTAATCCTGCAGAAAGGGTTTACTTATTGACTGCTCCAAACAATTTAGAATGGCATGCGTTAAAGCATTTTGTTCCTGTGCTTATTTGAAAAGTTGTAAATACCTTAAACAATTGGGCCATTCTGGCTGCTCCCGTGAATGACTGGCGCATGCGTCATTGATAAAATATAAATATAAAAGTCTGACTAATGTCAATCAAAAGTGATGACAAAACCTGTTTTGCTCAGGCTTGTTTTGCTCAGAAAGACAAATTTTACGAAACCTAAATCCTTGAGAGTATCAGATCGGTGTGATTTGAAGTTCTTAACATCCACAATCTTTAGTGTGTTTTTTGTGTGTGGGGAGGGGAGGGTGGGTTCAGATGGTTTTGTTTATTGGCTCTGTCCTTAAATCTTAAACTGCTTTGCCCCAGGGAAGTCGAGAATCAAATGTGTGTTTATATGCCATTCATAAAGCAAATGAGATCATTTTAACAGATAGACAGGGGGAATCATTTTAATTGTGCCATTATCTGCTATCAGTCTCTTAAACAAAAAGTGCCATACCGTGGCTTGAGACAGCAGATGTGCATAGTTGTGGGGCCTTTGGTTTTGAGAAATTTGTGTTTTTGTCTGAGTGTTTGAAGAAGAATAGCTCTAAAATATAAACAGGTTCAGGAGAGAGTTGTTGAGAAGACTAGCCAGCCCTCTGTGACATGTACAAGGGCATTCAGTTTCTATGAAAACATTTTAGGCAGGGATATTTTTACTGATGCTTTGCCTTTTTTAATATGACTGTGGCATTAAAGTGTGTATGTTTCTCCCCAGGCCAACTATGACTGTTACGGGTACTTTCAGTCCTTTGACTGAAATGCAGAAGTGTGAATTCAGAATTTTAGGCACAATTTAGTAAGAAGAAAGACATAGGCAAGTTAGCTTGTTTTGTTACTTGAGGGGCTTCACCAGATTCTGTGATTTTACTTTTTAAACTTGAGGACATCTCTTCAGCCCACTACAACCGATAAGCTATTTTACATAATTTGTAAGAAATCACTTGGGTGTAAGCTAGAACCAGTTTTGTGTGTTTGCAAATATGCACGTATACAAACAGTCATCTATCTTTCTGTCTAAGGCTGTGTTTCTTATTTTGGTGAATTCAGTAGTGGGACTTTTTTTACTGTTTTTTAAGTACAGAAAAGGGACATAAAATACAGATGTAAACACTGAACAGAATTATATTACTGTATATATAAGTAATGTTTAAAAAATACAGTTAATAACTGTATGTGCACATGTGTTATATTAATGTCTGGACTGTCAGGTAGAGCTTTTGAACAGAAGATAGTGAACAATGCAATTTCAGAGAATGAGGGTTCAATAAAAGTCTGGTGATTATCCATCAAAACTCTGAAAGAAGTTCTGTGTTGTATTATAGACACGTTTAGTGACTGATAATTTAACTTGAAGGAAGTCTATGCACTGATACTACATTGTGCTACAGATTGTATCAAGAGTTGCCTTTTCAGTTCTTAAAAGTGAAAAGTGCTTTACACTTGAGCCAGTGCTCTAGTTTCTCAGCTGGTTCTCAAACCTAACGTTCTAGTAAACAGTCGTTCAGTCTCTGGGGTTTCTCTGTGTGATTTCAAATGTGATCAATAATTGGCAACAGGACGAAGCTGCTTATATTTTCATTGTGGATGAAATACTTTTTTTTTTCTTCAGATAGGTTTGTTGGTGTGACAGAAATGATACTGAAATGTTATGAATGACATTGCACATTGTAAACTGGAATGTATGGATAAACACCTATATATATGAGAAGCGGTGCAATTTATTGTTAAAAGTATTTGCACTGGAAAAGTGGTATTTTAAATCAGAACTGGTCATAGTAAATGTACAGCTTGTGTGTGTCTGTGTTTTGTATTTTTTACATTTTGCAATTTAATATTTTATGTGGAGCATTCTTAAAAAACAAAAACTATTTGACAATATTATAAACTGGTCAGTAATGTGTGCTCGTGTAATGTGTGTTTGTAAGAAATTCTACAAATGCCACACAAAAGAAAGTATTAAAGAAGCAGCTTTAGATTTACAAGTGAATCTACATGAATGGACAGTCAAAAATAATATGTTCTGCTGTATGCTTGTTGGGAAGTGATGATGAGTTAATATTTGATTCAAAAAATAAATCTTGCTCCCTTTTCCTGGCAAATGTCTTGAGTGTTTGTGTTATGTATATATACAAACTTGAACTGTTTTCCAGAGTGACCGGTTCTTGTTTAAAAACTGAAATATTTTGCCCAGTAATGTGAGATCTTATAACACATAAAAGTTCAAATCAAATCCCAAGGGATGATGATATGCGCTTCTTGTATTTTCTCATTCACAAATTTGAAACATCCTGCCATCTATGTACAACATGATCATCAGGTTTTGAAATATGTGTGTGATATTTATGTACAGAACATTATTGAAGTGTACTATTCAGATATGACTTGATATTGAAACCTGTGCTCGCGATGCAAGGAAAGAGCTCAAAGCGAATAGGTTCTAGTCAATATCAAAAGGAAACCATGGTAATTTTTTTTTTTCAGATAGCACTTTGTGACGTGAAGCAATTTGTGAAATAATAGGTTTTCATTAAATTCTGCAAGATCTTTGAAAGACAGCTAGCATACCATGTAATTCTGTTAAAATATTATGCTTTGCATAATGTATTCCTTTTCTTGTTGTGTTCCATTTTTATTATTCATATAAGAAGTGTGGCTTTGGTATACCATACTGTATAATCCTTATTTTGTTTTGTTTGTTCTGGTGGTGGGTACTTCTATCA